TATCTTTCCTGTCATTGTTTTTTGAAGACAGTTTTGAATATAACTACTTAGAAAGCAGATTATAGCCTTGAAGAACATGATGTGTGAGTGTGTGTTTGTGTATATGTCTACACATACTAGTATATATGCAAATGTCTACACTGGATACTGGCTTCATCCATAACATCTACCTCCTCTATTATTATCAGCCACTAATGATTCAAATTTATGATATTCTGGTCACACGACTGCTTCTTCAAAGCACTCAGAGACACTGTTTTTCCTTTTAATATGCAGAAAAAAAATTGTGACAGTTCTGAAACTTCAGCCTTTAACAAAATCGTACCTTCACCTGTAGCTTCATCACTGTCACGAGGCGTTGCCAATGTGTTCTAACAGCTTCGTTAGGCTTAATTGTCCTGTTCGTGGCTCTGCTGGTGACGAAAGAACACTGTCTCTCGCCTAAATAATGCGGCGCAGATGAGATTCTGAAGGATTTCACTCCTTGGGTGCGAGTGTGTGTATTTGTGTGTGTGTTACATCCTGGGTAATCTTCACCTGCAGTCATATGCAGTCCCTGGTGAGAGACTGTGTGACTCACGACCGGCACATCTAGCCCACGGCTTAGAGTTCTTCTGTCATGGATTTAAGCTTACACACACACACACACACACTTTAATATTTAACCTACCGCACGCACACACACATTACTACTAATCACTGCAGTATTACCACAAGCCCCCCTTTTTGACTCATCTTACACTAAAAAGTCATCTGTGCATACAAACATATTCGAGACGACGGCTTCAGGTTTTTATTTTAGCGTTAAGCTCGGGTTATTTTTTTTTTTCCCGCCGCGCGCCGCCACGTGAAGCTGACAAGGATCCTCGTCTGTTTCGCCCTCCGCATTCAAATCAAGTGAACTCGCAAACGAGGCGCCAGCGATGGCAAAACGTTGCGCTCACCTCCGCAAATTACCCCCCAAATTGCCCCCTCAGATTTCAAACCAAGCATGCAGTTGTTCTTAGCAGTTAAAATGTAAACACCACAATCAGCATTTTAATTCATGATTGCCAAACAAGCCGTAAGCTAATCACGGAGAGGAGATAATGAAAAAGCAAAAAGGCAGAGGAAGACTAAGGAGGGAGTCTGTGATTAGGTCTTGCCTGGAAATGTCTGTTTTTTTTTTTTTTTTCCTCTGCGCTCTGGGCTCTGCATTTTTAAGAAAATGCCATGTACGGCATTTTTTTTTTGTTTTTTTTTGTGATCTGCAAGCACAAGATACTTAAGTCAAAGTCAAGGTCGGTGAAAGACGTGTTCTCCCGGTGAAGTTTTTATTAAAAATTTACTTCTGTATGGAGTGTAAGACTGCAGAAGTTATTTTCCTCTTTGTTGACTCTGCCGCGCCACATAATCGGCTAATAAAACCTGTTAAAGTGCGTCTATCTGGGCTTTAGTGAGCTGATTCTCAAGAAGCGACCTAATAATTCTAAAGGCTAAGGTAATGGCTCTGGGCCTGATAGGACCTTTGGTTAGACGTATATCCAGAATCGACGGGCGTAAATGCCTTTAACCTTTTCCTCTGGATTCATTACAAAATGCTGACAGCAGGGACCTGGTGTCTGTCTTTAGGAATTATTATCTAATGACATTTCAGTGAAGTCAGGAATCTCCACTACTTCCAGACGCGGCGATGTTGTTTTAGCTGCAGTAAACCTTCTCTCTAATATTCCCACAGCTTAGTGTATAGCGCTTAATGCGGGGCAAATGATAATTTATCAAAAAAACAACCACAAGCATCAAAAACGAGTTCAGGCAGTGGCTTATTTTCCCCAAAAAGTAACCAAATCCACTGAACTCACAGCTAAATATTCACTCAAGGTCTAATTAATTATTTACCACTCACCTGTGGCAATACCAGTGTAACTGTGGAGAAAGAGAGGAGCCTTGCTGAGTCGTGTTTTTTTTTTTTTTTTTGCCAAGTATTTTATAGTTTGAGGCTACAATCACTGTTAATATTAAATGAAAGCCACTTTGTTTGTACACTCTCGGCTGTCAATAAATCATTTGAAATATTAGCAGTGTGTGTGTGTGTTGCCCCGTGCAGCCAAAGAGAAACTCCGCCGTGTTTCAGAACACTCTCCGGATGAATTGGCGAAATCTCCAGCCGCCGTTTCCTTATTAATAAATTCATTAGTGCATGAGACTGGAGGAATGAAGACATTCACTGTCCAATGACTTGCAGCGAAATTATAGGAGATACCCTGCTTGGCTGGCGATGCTGTGATATCTAAAAAGGCGGTATTAAAAATGCATTCCCTTTCCTTCCTTTAGAGGTTCCTGCAATTACTCAGTCGGTTTAGAAACACGCAGGGAGGCGTTTCCCCACATCGCCCTCGCGAGTAACTGTACATCTTTATCACTTTCCCTCCTCTCTCTAATGCCACTCCACTTCCTCTCTCACCTATACGCAGATGCAAACGCTTCCATGGCTGTACGCTGTAAAGGCGGCTGAGAAAAAAAAAAAAAAACTGCTTGTTGTTGGCCCTCATCTTTGCAGAGCAGATGGCTGCTTTTCTGCGCCACATGGCCGGCACTCAGGAGATGAGGGGAGCTCTTTAAGAAGAAAAAGACTTTCAATCTGCTTTAGCAACTGTAGCTCCTCCTCATCGTCGCATCTTTTTTTTTTTCGCATGGCGTCAGCAGCCGGCTCTTCCATTCCCAACCACCTCCACGTACCTCCACTGCAGTGGTTTGGAAAGCCCTGCCTTCATCTGGCTGCTGTTGATGATTATGTAAATACTTAATGCTTATGTAAAAGAGTCAAACACAAGGTCGCGATGTGAAGTTATTAAGATGCCAGGTTGGATGCACGGTCGACTGGTCGAGAACCCGCAACCCTCCCCCCCCCTAGTTTTTTTCTATCATGTCTCTCCAACATGTGGGAACACGCTGCATATGTATGGAGAGCTGCATTCATTATTCATGCTGAGAGTTGGTTTGAATGTGGTGGAGATGTAGGGTTATTCTGGGAGAGGGGTGGCGAGCAGAGACTCAGACTCGGGGAGTAAGTTATCCGTCTTTTTTTTTTTTTCCCTTCCATGGGTCTGCAATATTTGTATAATTCAGGTTGAGAACTGGATTTGGCCTGAAGACTGCCACAAAGAAAGGAATAATTCTTGTTTCTGGCCATCACCTTGGCTGTAATACGTGAGTGCTTACGGACAGCAGAATACAATTTTAAAATTCCAAATGGATAAAGGTAAAACTCACAATGTGGAGCATGATGTAGTCGCCCAGACGCGGGGCGCTGTCGATGCGGACGAGGATGCCGTCTTTGATGGTGGTGCTGAAGCCCACCGCCAGCCGGTCCGTCCGTGTGCTCGGCCTCTCGTTGTTGGGCCACGTGTACGTGATCAGACCCCCTCCTTTGCCGAAGATGTAGGTGGTGCCAGCTGTGGAAAATAAAGGAGAAAAAAAAAAGGAATAAAGAACAGCAGGGGTTAGATTTCTTGTCGAAGAAACAGAGGCAGATAAAAGGAGGTAAACTTCACTTGTGCGATGTACAAACATACTCTAACTAGACACCGGGGAGCACAGTGTTGTCACAAACAAGAAATTCCTGACAAACCAGTTCCAAACTAACTCCATTAGGGGCTAAATCTACTGTAATTCCTTTTGCAGCTACCTCGGAGCTACTACAGTGTAACCGTGTCGAGTTCTATATTTGGATTTTAATGGTATTCAGCCACCACCACCTTTTGGGTAGAAGTCAGCAGCTCCCCTGGCGACATCTATGACCTATCCAGCTCTTAAATATAGCCCCTTTCCAGGGAATAACAGCCGGTATTGGCCAGAATCGGATAAGTCTCCCAATCCTCATGTTTTATATATGAGACCTGCAACCAAAGAACAAAGGTTGGCACAAGAGAAAAGAGTCGGGGGGTCGAGGGGAGATCGAAGAACCTTCGGCGGGTTTAATTTGACAAATGCAGTGTGTAGCAGAAAAAAAAAAAAAGACCTCAGCACCGTCAGGGGAAGAGAAGCTCACCAGAAATGTTTGCTATTACATCATGCAGATTTGTGTCAGATTAGAGCCTGGGACTGGATCAAACTTGGCCTTGAGACATAAAAATCTGTCGAATTGTTTGTTGAGTTTTTTTTTTTTATCATCACGTGGAAACGGGAGGGAGAAAAGAAACCGAAAAAAAAAAAAGTTTCATTACTTGGTTGCAGGGTCGGATTCAGTTCCAACTTGCGAATGTTCCCTAAGGTGCGTCAGAATTAAAGCACTGAATCCTTGAGCCGCTTAGCCATCTCGTCCACATTTAGGCAAAGATAATCGAGAGATCAAAGGCATTAGACCTACAGCAGATAGACTAGTGGGTGAATCAATATGGCAGACAAAACAGACTCCTGTGGCCTGAGGGGGGGAGTGGAAAGCATTTGGCCCACCTCACAGGCTGACAGGGGATTGCTAATGAAGCCGCTGCATCAATGTATTAATTTTTATTTTTTTTTCTGCCGCCATCGTACCTTCCCTTTCTTCCGTATCACCTCCCAAACACCCACCCACCCCCCTCCACCATTTCTCTTTTCCATTCACTTCCTCTCCGAGTCACCTGAACATCTGCTTGGCCGTGTGATGGGTGCCCAGCTGTCTCACTGTTTCCCCTATGAAGCGGCCAACAATCTGCTCTGTGGTCTATAATACCCTGGAGACTGCAAGAACATATGGAAGAGAGGGACTAAGAGAGAGGGAGAGACTCGATTGACCAGATGAGCATCTCTATTTGCCTTCAGGCGCACAAACAGGTCTGCATTTTACGCAGCTCAGGTTGTCAGCGTTGCAAAACCACAAAACTAAGGTCGTCTGTGTGACAAGAAAAAATGTCCAAACGAGTGAAGCATCCCACGCCTCCGACAACTGTTTCGCTTCTTGTGACTAATAACTGTAAATGGATGGTTTAACACGGACGCCCGCCTTTGGGATTTCATTTTTCCTCCCGAACAGAAACAATGAAGTCACCCGATTGCTTTCAGAGACACAAACGAAGCTGATGAGTGCATCACCTGCCTCGAACAGCGCGTTTCATCGGCGGCGCTGCATCTGACGACGAGCCCCCGACGCCACGCGGGCGACAGATAGCAGCCTGCAACCACGGTTGCACCGGATCTGGCCCCTGCTGTCTCATTGCCTCAAAGTTTCTTGTTGCCAAAAGAGTTGAGGCAGACTTGGGATCAGTTTTCCCCGGCAAACGAGCAAACTTTGCCTATCTCATCTAACACACACTCTTTTTTTTTCTGGAGGGGATGACGATGATGAGCAGCAAAGATACAAGCACCCCGGGGAGCCAATTATCACATTGAGGAGATTTGCTTAGTGTTTCAAGAAGACAATGTTCGGCATGAAACACACAGAGGCAGCCGCACACACACACACACACACACACACGCAGCGACTGACGCACGCACTCAAATTGACGGAGGCACAAATGCACATCGTGATGCTCAAGTGTGCAAACACGTGTGCACACACGCACAAACACCGAAAACATGATGCCTTCTCACATACAATCGCACAAGTGGGTGATTATCTGCACAAGTACAGAGAAGAGAGAGAACCCGAGATCTCCGAGATGTAGCACATTTCCCTAACAACCTGCTGGGCACAGACTGCACCGGCTGCATTTCCACACGGAGAGGAAGTCCACTGCATATCAATTGGTGCATCCATTGCATGCAAAAGCATCGAGTGTGGCACCATTTCTGGCACTCATCAGAGGATTTCAGCGTTGAGGTACAACTGTATGGATGCTTTGCAAATTGTGGGGAGTAAAAAAAAAAAAAAAAAAAAAGCAGCATTCCGGTTCAACATCCAAGGTCAAGAGTTTCATTTAAATAATGACACCACAGCAAGAGGCCCTTTTTTCGGGCGACAGGGCTTTTCCATTCAAGTGTGGATGTACGGAGCACCGATATAATTAAATTTCAGCACTTTTGCAAGGAGACTAATTAGAGGGTGAGGGTAAGCAATGGCATATTTTAATATTTCCAGCATATTTTAGCAAGCGCACTCTCAATTACCTCAACCAACATCTCCTTGGGCATTAGCACAACTCTCAAATTGTTAATACGCAATGCTCCTTTCAAGGTATTTTTTTTTAAAACATGCTTTTAAAAATGTGCTATACTAAGGGCAGAATGCACAGAAATTTAAAAAAAAAAAGGCAGGTGTTTTTATTCATTAAAATAAAAGAAATAGACATGCAAGTTTCGAAAGACTGTGCAATCTACATTAGCATGAACACTGCACAGAAAAAAAAGAGTGCAACAGAAAAAGGATGCCTTTCATTGTCTGAAAAATAACTTGGTTCATTAACAAGACAACCTTTTAAGGAAAGTCTTGTGTAACAGACTGTGGTAAAGTAATGCGCTCCTGCTCTTATTTTACCTTGATTTGCATGGCATCTGTGCAGCAAAGACTTTGATACAACGACTAGGATGTTGATCCAGTCAGCTGCGTTAAAGGCAGCACGGTAAAAAAAAAAAAAGTGGTCCAATTTGTTCTCTGCTTCTCGGAAATAGCTCCAAGTGCTCTTAAGTTTAAGTTTCTCTGCTTTATGTGCCTTTTGTTATTCCCTCCGACTGTTTTTCCCGCCATTCTGGTCAATGTTGGCGTTCTTCAGATGGGCAATGACAACTTATTCCCATCATTACTTACAAGGCTGAAACATTAAACAGCAGTAAGCAGCAGAAATTAGGTGTTCAGTCGACGCAAAGGCTTTCACAGCCATGAAGCCTGGTGAAAAGCCAACTGCAGGGAAAATATCATCAAAGGAATCAAATCTACAAACAGATTACTGCACAGGATGTTATTTTGGTGGATCAGAGGGGACTTTCATCTCCATCTTTGAATAATGCAATCTTACTATGGCCAGTGGGTATTGGATAGAGGCCATCTGAAATCTAATTGTAGCACACGGGTGCTCCATTGATTTGAGAGTGAAAGGATGGGAGATAGGAAGCCCTTTGAAAGGAATAATGACCAAAGCTGATTTTCTTTTATTATTCTTTGAAAGTTGACAATAACTCAAGGTAAAATGCATCCAAATTAAGGCTGGAACTCGAATACTACTTCAATTATTATCTCGATTAACCAGCTAGAGCTCTGCTGGTCTGTAAAACGCCAACAAATGGTTAAAAATGTGATTCAGGTGTTTTCCAAATCTTCAAATGTCTTGTTTTGCCCATAACCAAAAGATATTCAGTTTAATGTCATAGAGGAGGAGAAAAAAAACAACAGAAAATAGTCACATTTAAGAGGCTAAAATCAGAGACTTTTTTTTTCCTCTCCAAAATAGTTCACCATTATTCTAATAGTTGACACTTCAAATGACTCCAGATGAAAACAAACAACTAAAAGCTAGTGGTGTTAGTTGAAAAATAGAGCCAATGCACTTATGCATTACTCACCAGCGTTGTGATTTATTGCATCTGCAGCACGCCTCCGTTTAGAGGCAAACTGTGGATGAGAGACTAGGTCAAAGCCTTGGCCTCTATTTCACAGAGGTCCCCCGAGGCGTGGAAGAGCAGACAGAAGGTCAGGACACCTGTCTGCAGAACAGAACTATGTTCTGTCCTTCAGGCCCCCACGTGACGTTACCCAACTACAGGAGGATACAGTATTTTCACACAGAGCCAGAAATCACAGAAGGTCACTGCTTTCAATACACCTGACCAGCGGGCGGAAAATAAAAAAAAAAAAGCCCTGGTGCAGCTAACAAGATGGAAGCCACCGCTGCAATCCTCAGCTTAATAGTGATTAAAAAAAAATAATGGAAAACATTTATTTATACCACTCCTCGCTCTCTATCTTCCGCATGCACATTTAAACTTTACCAGGCTACAATGCTATCTATAAAAGAGCAACAAGAGTAGAGCAGCTGCTGTTCAACGTCTGCTATAACTGGGTAATTGCTTGTATTCAGACTTCACACCACGCTGTGATAAATCCCTCTATGTAGAGGTAGCAGACTTACAGTAAAAGACTGTCCAGCTGCAAAGGCTGCAAAGAGGGAGGCAGTCAAGGTTTTTTTTCTTCTTCTTGTGGAAGCTGGATTGGGTAGTTTTGAGTGTACCTTTGTGTGCCAGTGTGTTTACGGACAACCACAAAGAAGAAGGTGGCACCAGCAGCTACCCACAAGGCACAAAACTGCAGTGGGTAAAAAAGCTCTAAACTCCAACTGCGTTTGAGTACGCACGCACGCACGAACGCACGAACGCACGAACGCACGGTAATCTGAGCAGACACGTACGAGTCTGAATTTTTTTTTTTTTGCGCACATCATCCGCGCACGCTTCCTCTCCTTGCTGCGTGTTGTTTATGTGCTTTTATGTCTTTCCCCTTGTTATCTCTTGGGCTTTCTGCAGCGCTCGCACCCCAGGGGACGGA